TTAAAATTAATAACATTAAAAATGTGTGGCAGTAAAAAGCTAAAACCTTGGCATATTAAGATTAAATAAAATGACAAATCTCAAAGTCTGAATCAAATGTGGGACCTCAACGGGACATACTTGTGTATTAGGAAGAATAGGTACGTTTGAGCAACATTATGTAGGGAGTTGTAAGCAAGCACCAGAATTTTAAATTGAGCCCTATATTTAACTGGAAGCCAATGTAGGGACTGACAGATGTGGTAGGCGTGGGCGGTGCAGGCAGACAGGAAAATGAACCTCGCCGCCGCATTCATTGCAGAGGTGCAATCTGGAAACACGTAAGACCACTGAGAAGGGGACTGCAATAGTCAAGGTGAGAAAGAACAATGTAATGTGCTTGCTGGGGCCTCGCCGCCACCTAAATCACCTATGTTAGGGCAGACTGAACTGTCAGTGAGAGGGGGCCCGGCGGCTTGCCCAGTATCCCTCCACGTGGTCTACCCACAGAGAGAGCCATCCTCTGATCTGCAGCTCTGCTGAGTGCAGAGATGAAGATCACGTAATGTGGTTTTTTCGCGAGCTCACAGAGCATTGCTGCGGGCTACCACGACAATGCTCTGATAGGCGCTCGCGAGTACAAGGTCTGCAGCTCTCGCGGAGCAGAGCTGCATACAGAATAGTCATCCCACTGGACCACCAGGGAATTATATTACAAAATAAGGTATTTCAGTGTGTGGAGGCTTGGCCCCAACACTGCCCTTCCACCCCCTCTGCCCCAATACTGCTCTCCCACCCCACTTCCCCAATACTGCCCTCCCACCCACTTTCACACACTTGCACCCCATATTGTTAGCCCCAGCACTATGTCACCAATACATACATAATCCCCCTAATCCTATCACACTCATCTTCTCTCATCCGGTCACACTCAACCCCAACCCTGTCACACTCACCCTTTTTCACATTAACCCTTTCACGTGTGCCCAACCATGCCACACTCACCCTTTCACATAATCCTGTCCGACTCACTTTCCCCCACCTTGTCACACACCCTCCTCCAGCTTTGCAACACATAACCCATAACCCTGTCAAACTCATCCCCCTTCACCCTATCACATTAACTTCTTCTATCCTGTCACTCATCCTGCCTAGACATGCCACACTTACCCTGTCACATAACCCTCCCTCATCCTGTCACTGTCACCTCCCCTTGCCCTGTCACACTTTCTCATTCAACTGTGCCACACTCACCCCATCAGTGAATACATATGGCTCTTATGTGAAGTGTAGTGGGACTAGCTCTCTGTATCCAGCGCTGCAAGCCTGTCATTCAATATAACTACAGCTCATTATACACAGGATGCAACCCCTATATGTTTTTATTACTATGAGTGTTAGTGGGGGCCTCTTGTTTGAGTTTCGGCTAAGGCCTCATAAAGTCTAAAGCCGCCACTGATCAGGAGAGGACAGGTAGATTTGCATGTAATTTGCATATAAATGATAATGGAAGCTAAAGATGCTGATGAGTTTACCAAGGCAGGCAGTATAGAAGGAGAACAGTAGGGGACCAAGGACAGAACCTTGGGGAACGCCAACAGAGAGGGGTTAGATAGAAGAGGCAGAGCCAGAGAAAGAAACACTGAAAAAGCACTGGGAGAGGTAGGAGGAGCAACCATGAGAAAGCAGTATCTCGTAGACCGAGATTACGGAGAATGAGAAGATGTTGATGATCAACAGTGTCAAAGGCAGCAGAAAGAACAAGGAGAATTAGGATAGAGTAATGGCCACAGGATTTAGCTGCTGTTAAATAGTTGGATAATTTGGTCACAGCTGTTTCAACAGAGTGACGAGCGTGGAATCCAGACTGAAGCGGGTCAAGCAGAGAGTTGGATTTGAGGAAGTCTGTCACCCTCGCATACACAACTCTCTCAAGGATCTTTGAGGCAAACGGCAGTAGCGATATAGAGCGGTAGTTGAATGAGGAAGTAGGGTCAAGGTTAAGCATTTTCAGAATTGGCGTTATGGTAGCATGCTTGAAGGGTGAAGGAAATGTGCCGGATGAAAGGGAGAGATTGAAAATTTTAGTGAGAGGAAGGGCAAGAGAGGGAGACAGGGTGTGGATGAGAAACCTCTTCCATTGTAGTAGGTGTGAATGAGCATAGAACAGTGGGGTTAGTGTGGTTGGGTGATATATTGGAAGATGTATTTGAAGGAGAGGGAGAGAGGTTAGAGATCTCTTCCCTGATTGTAGAAATCCTCTCAGTGAAGTGAGTTGCAAAGTTTGTGGTGGACAGGGTGGTAGGAGGAGGGGGAGCAACAGGGCAAATGAGAGCATTAAACATGTGAAATAGGCATTTGGATTGGCGTGATAGTGTGCTTATGAGATGCTGAAGTAATTTACAGAGGAAAGAGCCAAAGTGTAGGATCACAGCATGCATTTATAGTGGAGGAAATTAGGTGCAGAGTGAGACTTTCTCCAACAGCTTTTAGCAGTTCTGGAACATTTTTGGAGATTTCGGGTCAGCTTGGTGTGCCAGGGTTGTAATTGGGAGCGCTTGCTGCTTTTAAATGTACATGAATTGTATCCCACCAAAACATAGAGAAGCTGGAGTAGCGGAATCAGAGGGGGAAAGCCAGGTCTCAGTGAGTGCTACTAGTGTGAGGGAATTAGAGATAAAGAGGCTGTCTATGTCTGTTGATTTAATATTGCTACAGATGGAACAGGGGTACCAGAGTGCACACTGAATGTTGGTAGAGGAGGATAAACTGCAGGGTATTTGAATGAGGTTTTCGTGGTTTCTAGTTGTTTTAGTGTGAGCAGACGAGGTGAAGGGCCCTGGGTTGGGAGGGATGTCACCAGCTGCTAGAAGTAGAAGGAGAGACAGTGATAGGGGATGTGGATACGTTTTACATGGGCAGGGTCTAGGATGAGATTGGGTGGGAGCAGGAGAGAAAGAATAGAGAAATGAGTGCAGGCCATGGGATGAGAGAAGGAGGGAGTGTAGCAGAGATGGGTTAATCTGGATGTGATTGTGTTGTTGAGGGAAGTGGGTGTAAGGAGATATTTTGATGCTGAGGGAGAGAATAGAAAAGGAAAAGAGGAGAAGATAGAGCATTGTATGTAGAGGTTTAGAAAAAAAATATCCATCTCTGTCTCATTAGAGATTTCTTTACTTAAAGCTGAAGGAAGCTAGGTGAATTATTAGTGTAGGACCCACCTAGGAGGTTTGCCTTAACGTGGCAGGTGGGCTTGCATCTAATGGCCATTGGAGTTACAAAATAACCTCCATTTATTTAAATATGCATAGGGATTTGAGCTAGTTCGCAGGTAACTTATTTTTTTCTTTAGTGTCTTGTTGACCTTGTATAGAGTTAAGCATTCTAGTATCCTTATGTGTGGCTTTGTTTCTGTGGAACTCTGTTCTGCTCTGTTAGACTTTCACCCAGTCTCAGTTCATTGAAGAGATCATTAAAACTCACTTCTTTAGGAAAGCATATCAATTCAACTTTTAATAGCTTTCCCTCCCCACATCTCAATAACCCACCCTGCTTACTCTCCTGCAACTAGGTCATCCAAAACAAACTAACTCTTCAATATAAACTATTCTTGTAACCTATTTTTTCTCATACATGAAAAACATCCTACACTTACCTCATGTGCTCGGTTTACTGTAGCATAAAGTAGAAAGATCAGTTTTCATCCCCTTATATCATGTCAAATGTTTTTACTAACCTGTGAATACCCAAACACACCCAGAAACTGTGCTATGGGAACAGTTGTTACCGAATGGTGATCACCAATAAAACCAGCCAACTTGTTATAATCCATACAGGAATAATTCGGGACAGTCTTATTTGGCCCAGATAAAATCTGCAGAACATTCTTCACAGCTTTCTTTGTATTTGTACATGAATCAAACAAATGGTATCCCAGTGTGATATTTGGTAAGATATTTGAATCATTGTTGACTTTCTCAATTGCATAAAGGAAAGTAAGGTAGTTTATATAATTCAGCGAAAAAGGACTGGAAAATAATGTTAATATATTTATTGATAATTAACACACATTATCTTAATGTTTTACACAACTGTGGTACATAACATAACATAATCCTGTATAATTACACAGTTAACCCCTTAAGGACTGAGGCAGTTGTACAAGTTGTGATCAAAACAAAATGTAAACACAACTTTGAATTTTCTCTATATGTCTATTCAACCAGAATTCACCTTTATCATATTAAATGCACCCACACTTATTGTGTATCATTTTGTTCAGGAGAAACAGTAGCTTTCATTTCAGATCAAATATTAAATATGAAACATAAATTAATATGAATAAAAAATAAAAAATGTGAGAAATTATGCATGTCATTTTAACTGTGAATGTCATAATTCTGTTAGCTGTTACTGCAACAAAGTACACATATTTGTATTCAGCAATGTCTCATGAGTAAAACAGTACACCCCATGTATAGGTTTTATGATGTTTTGAAAAGTTACAGGGTCAAATATAGCATGTTACATTTTTCAGTTTATACACATTGAAATTTGCCAGACTGGATATATAACTTTATGACCAAATGGTAGCCCAGGAGTGATGATTATGTGATGGAATTCCAGTAAAATACAAGTTTAGCAGGCCAAGATTGCCACAAGGCATATGTAGGTACATGTGTTTGTAGTATCAGTTAGTTAGTTACACGTAGCTAAGATACTGTCATCACTGTACTGAGCATGTGCAGGAATGCAGGAACTGGAATTACGCATTCCTCTCCTTTGTTTCAGATGAGCCACGTGGTTAGACCGGATGGATGCGTTTAGACTCGATTGATTAGGTTAAGGGTATGTGTGGGCATAGCTAATTATGGGAGGAGCTACAGTGCTATATAAGGAATGTACTCTATGTATTCAGTACTCAGATCTTTGCTGTTTTTGGTGACATAAGTCCCTCTGAGTCCCGGTCGGTGAATCAAATAAAGATCTCTTCCTTCCTGACGAAACCTGTGTCCATCTCTCTGTGCTTGGCCTCCGTCAGTTTCCCGGTAACATCTTTGGTGCATTGGCCGGGAAGCTCGTCATTAACAGTGGCTAGGAAGCAGAGGCGAGAGACAGTCTATCTTTGCCCACGTTCTCTACGGCTGCACCCCTGAACTTCTGCGTGGACCTCCCTTCGTCTCGGCGCCACTGGTCTGTTGTCCAGGAGATCATCGGCCTCTACGTAGTAAGTACTGGGGTGTCCCCGTCGATGAGTGTGAACTCAGGTTCAGGAACGAGGAGGTAAGACGACTACTGTTTTAGACGGTGGACCCACTAGGGGTATTGGATACCGATTGTGCGGTAGGCCCATAAGGGGTTTGAATTGGAATTGTGTATGGAATTGGCTCCCTCCAGGGAGGGAAGGAGAGAAGGCGCACCGCTCATAATTAGACGCCCTGTAGTCAGCCCGTCTAATCTTGGTATGGAGTCAGGCTGGGTCTTGGTTGAATGTATATAGCCCAAGCCGGACACCGGTGTCTTGTCTAGACTAGCGTATCTAGGGTGTACATTTCCTTCGCTAGGTCGGAGGGACCGGGAGACTAAGCAGACTCTGGTGTACATTATCGTTTGCTAGTTCTCAACCTATCTTGGCTAAATGGGAAGGCGTGTAAATTTGGAACCCACTAGACTATTGATAGAGTAGATAGACTAAAAGGGTATTGTTGTAAATTTATCATTTGGCTGGAGGTAGGAGTGCAGAAGCTTGGGTTGTTTTATATATATAGATATGTTTTTTTTTGTTCTAAGTGTATTTTGTTTTATATATATATATATATATATATATATATATATATATATAGGAAGGAGGAGCCTGGAGTTGTGGGAGGGGGCAGCCTATATAAACTCAAAACTACCTCCATACTGGGCTGACGTCCAGTGGTTGGTTCCGGTTTCACCAGAAGAATTTCCTCGTGCAGAATTTCAAATGCAGCTACAATCAGGATGCCATCAAGCAATACAGCAGGCTCCCGCATGGCAGACCGACAACTGTATCACCACTCCGACGAAAATGGGCACCACCAGCTACTCTCAGCTATCACAGAATCGTACCTGGCTTTGCGACAGTACTTCCGGGGCACCTGCAAACAGGCACCCTGCAACCGTGAGTTAAAACATACGAACGCACTAAAATTACCGAACAGGGAACCCATGCGCCCATACAAACTCACTCACAGAAAACTAGCTTTCACATGAACGGAAAACTGTATGCACGAACCCCAGCACATACACCATTCATCCAAATGAATGTATCCACTTACTCTCACCAAAACAAAACGAACATTTCCAGGTCGGCTAAATTCAATTGAACGATCAGTTAAACCTGCACAACACCGCCATCTACTGTTTAAACGGCCAAATTACACTTGGAAAATTTTATTTTTTTCCCCTCTTCTTTCACATGGGCAGCAAATTCACAGGTCAAAATGTACTGTGCACAGGATATTAAATACTGGTTTCTCCAATTTGTGTTCCTTTGTATTAAATAGTCGTTGGTTATATCTGTTTACAACTAATATTTATAAAACTGCTAACGTGTTAATAAACAGGATGTATATAGGCTGTCAGTTGTAGTCCCTACACACAGCAACAGAGTAATAGGTTTAACCAAGTTGTTCTGTTACTGCAAGGCTTCTGGGGTAACAAGCAGGGAAAATATGCATTATCTAAACTATGCTCACATGGTCATTATGTATTCCAGAATTCAGAGCAATACTCCCCTGAATTACATCTCTCCCCTGAATCACATCTTGTTATTGCGAATTTCAGTTCATACGGTACGTTAAATAACTAGTACGGTTCAATACAATGGGTAGAGGGGGGCTTGGCAGTCACAATATAATCTGGTTAGGCCATTAAACAATAAGGTTAGGATCGCTAACAAGGCAACATAGACTTAACTACGTAGTAAACGCATGAAGCACTAATCATGATCATTTGAATCTATTCCAGTCAGAAACCAATCAGCAAATAGCCATAGTAACGGTTACTATCACTTAGCCGAATACGTCTTCAGCTAACAAGTACAAACTAGTAAGTTACATAAAACTCACCAGACCATTCTCTTGTCAACACATAACATACTACACCATTACAGTAACCGGCAAAAGCAGAAACCGAACACAGTCATACACTCTAACAGACGCACATTAATCACAAGGCTAATTTCCTAATGTAACAAAATCCCTTATTTACAGACCATACGAACCAGCCTGTTCGGTTATTTGGATGCTTACAGCGGGATTTCGTGAAAATAGCGATAAAAGCGAATAAACTACCGAACCACTGACCTCCCACTGAGGTTGTGTGGCGCCTATTAACCACCCAGACTGTTGCGGTTAACCACAGACTAATTGGGGAATAGCTGGTGGTCCGCGTTCGTTTACCGAACACGTGGCAATCGACATTTTGTATTGTCAAACGCTCAGCGGTAAATGGCGAGGATTCCCTGGAACTAATTTCGGCTACTTATTTTGTCAAACACCGCTGCTACCTCTTCACATCCTCGTTTGTACGGTGGAAAAACACACGAATGAAGGGGATACTACTTCATTCGTGCGCTGAAAGTATGCAAAAGTGACCGACCCCAGATAGCTACAGTATGGAACTTGTAGTCAACTACAAACACACGAACGGCTGGCGAAAGTCAAACTTCAATCGATGTTTCTGAGAACTGTGTTCGTGGGATCTGAGCGCTATTCGCCTAGAATATGCACTCAGATCCAAGCTATCTGGGGATATGTGGGACTTAAAGTTTATGTTGTGTAAAAAGAAAGTTATAGATTTTTATTCTGTTTTGCTGAAATAAGAAAAGCCATGTTTCTTTCTACCTGGAGATAATTAAGGCTCTCTTTGCTACCTTAAGTTAATTATCTCCAGGATGGAAAAGAGGGAGTGATTTATGGAAAGGGGAGTGCTTATGCTATAGCCACTGTGATTGGCTACTGTGATACTTTTGTCCCAGTCTTCCATCTGGTCCCCTAGGGGAGTGTCCACCAGGTGGGAGACCTGCATAAATACCGGGCGGGTAGCCCACAGTAAATCAGATCGTTTTACCCCTTCATGAAATTACATATCCCCTGACAGCCCTGATCTGGGTGAGCAAGATACATAATTTCTTGGAGGTCTTCGTTTTACCAACCGCACACGAGGCAATAGCCAAAAGGAGTTCCATGTGTTTTGGCCTTGCGGTTGGTCTCCATTCGTGAGGTGAAAACCACCAAAATAGTCAATACACTGAGCTCTGCCTGGGTTTGTGTGAATCCTCTTGTTCGTGTGTATTGTTTTACCGAACGCCGTGCCATTCGTGTGTTTTCCCACGAACAGGTGGAGGAATGGAGGTCTCTGCGGTGCTTGCGTAGTCGAGTGTCTGATTTGGATTCCAGACACTTGACCACCAAATACTGCTGGTGCGCTCATATAGGAAGATGGCCACCACCACGTGTTCGCATGTCAAACGGCGCCCACCCAGGGAATACACAGTGTGTTTGTATGATTTTCAATAATGATAGTGTGAATAACGATGGGGAGGTCAATTAGAGCCACGTTCTTCGCCAGGGTGGTCTGGTTGTTCGATAGTTTGTTCTTTTGTCGAACGGAGATATTTAACCGGTTGGCAATTGGGTTTCTACCGAACAACCAGACGAATGCTTCAGCAGCTCACTGGTTACTTCTTGTCTTAAAAGTAACAAACCATAGGAAATTGAACATACTGTTGTAACAAAAAAAGTTATGGACCGCCACAATTAAGGACGGTGGATAGGAGCCCGACGCAATCTGCTACACTTTTCTTCAAATACCCTACATTTTTTGTCTTTTTCATTTGACTCAGGTAAAGCATAACACACTATTAATGTATATCGTTCAGCTATATCAGCAAACCCTGATCCAATTGAGTCGTTTCCTGTGGGTAAACACCCCCTAGTATGCAGACTGCTAAAGAGCATTAAATTAAAATGCCCTACATGCCACTATGACCCCCATTTTAATAAAAGGGAGGTTACATCTTCCTGCATGTCCCTACTCACGGCATGCCATGAGTAGGGGCATGTCAAAATAAAATGCATTTAAAACTACTAGTGACTGGGTAGCTATTGTGCACAGCCCCCCCCATTACCACATGGTGGGGAACCCAAATAACTAAAATGGGGGGGCATAGTGCCCCACTGCACCCCCACCTGTGGGGTGGGCTATTAATATAAACAGGGTCCCAACTCATGACTGTTGGGTGGGGACCTTAATTAAATAAATAATGGGGGGGAGCCTAATGTCCCACCATGGCCCCGCTTATTAAATTAGCGACATGGTAGCAATATCTATGAAGAAAGTTCAGTGTCTGCATGCAGAGGGAGGAGATAATGAATTTTAGGATGCATTTTAGGCAGCCATGACCCAGGATGGATCTCTAATAGCCATCTGAGGAGTGGCCAGTGAAGTTATCACTAAGCTGTAATGTAAACACTGCATTTTCTCTGAAAGACAGTGCTTAATGCAAAAAGCCTGAAAATAATGATTCTACTCACCAGAACAAATTCAATAAGCTGTAGTTGTTCTGGTGACTATAGTGTCTCTTTATTTGTATCATTTACATTTTTATTCCTGTGAGTTATTGTGTAGGCAGGGCCCCAGTGCACTGCTTTGCCCGGGGGCCCATAATGTTGCTAAGATGGCACTGGGCTAGCAGTTAAGCCTCTCCAAAAGGCCTGTCACATCTACTAAGGAGATGAAAAACCTAAATTAAAGGGACACTATAGTAATCAAAACAACTTAAGCTTAATGAAGAAATTAATTATGGTGTATAGATCATGCCCCTGAAATATGACTGCTCAATTCTCCATCATTTTGGAGTTAAATCACTTTTGTTTCTGTTTATGCAGGCATAGCCACACATTCACTGACTGTGACTCACATAACCTACATGAAAAGAAAGTTTCACTTTTAATCAGATGTAACTTACTGTAAAAGCTTTTTTTTCCTGCTCTGTAAATTGGACTTTATTTACATACAAGAGGCTCCTGCAGGGTCTAGAAAGCTATTAACAGAGCAGGAGATAAATAATTCTAAATTAAACAGTATTTTCAATACAGGAAGTGTAAACATTATATGACTCTTTGCAGGGAGTGTTGGAAGGCTGTGTAAGTCACATGCAGGGAGGTGTGACTAAGGCTGCATAAACAATTTTATTTAACTCCCAAATG